TTTGATAGAAAATTAGCACTGCCATGACCACATACATTGATAAAAGAAAGCTGAGATGAATATGGGGGACTATATTTAGGGGTTCATAAACTGCAAATGGAATCAGTGAAGGAAGAAGAGAAAGAACAATCAGCCTATAGCTCTAGCGTGACATAATGTCACAGAACCAAAGGGAAGGTACAGTTGGAGAGCCAGAGATGACTGCTGTAGGGTCGAACACTTCAGAGAGGGCTAGGAAAATTGGGTTTGAAATAGATTTTTCATTTGGCAAAAAGGAGGAGCAGTGGCAAATCTCAAAAGCACACAACACATTTTAAAACAGCCATGATAAACTCATGTAAATGTTTAGAGTCCGTAGTTGGTTATTTATAAAGCCAAGTGTACTACCTAACTAATCCATCTTATCTATCATTAATGAAAATGAGCCATGTAACTAAGCAAGTATGTTTTCTAAGCCATGCATTTTTAAATTAAAATCATCTTCACCAGCAGCAATATATTCATCATCATCCTACCATGAGCATCCTGTTCCTAGCATATTCTCATTGTCCACAGACTTCATTTCTGAGTAATATTATAGACCATCTCTTCCTTTCTCTCTGTCACTTTAACGTTGATCCAACTCCAAACTCCCTTTCACGAAATTCAGTTTTATCTCTACAATTAGGTGTCCATTTTCTTTCTTTTTTTTTTTTTTTTTTTTGAGACAGAGTCTCACTGTGTTGCCTGGGCTAGAGTGCCGTGGCGTCAGCCTAGCTCACAGCAACCTCAAACTCCTGGGCTCAAGCGATCCTCCTGCCTCAGCCTCCCAAGTAGCTGGGACTACAGGCACGCGCCACCATGCCTGGCTAATTTTTTCTATACATTTTTAGTTGTCTGATTAATTTCTTTCTAATTCCAGTAGAGACGGGGTCTCGCTCTTGCTCAGGCTGGTTTCGAACTCCTGAGCTCAAACAATCCACCCACCTCGGCATCCCAGAGAGCCAGGACTACAGGCGTGAGCCACCGCACCCTAGGTGTCCATTTTCACTGCATTACTTGGCATCCATTTTTAAATTACTACAATATGTTGTCTTTTTTCCATGAGAACATATAATATCCCCCTACTAGTTTATAAAAATAGTATCTTTCATGTTTTCCTAGTGACTGATGTACAGTATAAAGGGCACTCAATAAATATTTTTGGCTGATTTCTATTTCATATCCATGCTATTCCCACAGCTTACGAAGTTTTTGTCACCTTTCCACCAGCCACAGCCTCAAGTCTTTCAGAACTCCAGTTGATAATCCTGGTTAAGATTTCCTGGTTTAATCAGGCCAGTAGCCTATTAATTTGTCCCTATACTCCCTACCTTCTAATCACTTAGTTGTAGCTTTGTCACACTTGCCTTTATCCTGTTTCTCCTTTATTCAGCATTCTTCTCTAAGAAATACGGCCATCATCACTCCCCACGCAATCAAGATGAACCTCCACACACAGCGGGGACAATTTGACTGACTAATGCTACTGACTACCTACAAAAAGAATAATTTTTCAATTAATTGACTTTCTGACTCAATATAATGAAAGACATTAATTTAAAACATGTATAATTGCATTGCTTCTTGTAAACCTCAATAACAACGTATTTATCAAAGCCTGATTCAATGACCTTGGGGAGAAAGAAAGCAGGAAATGAAGTTGAAACAAGTAAGTACCCTGCAGAGAAAACGAGCACTCACCGCTGACTAATTGAAGGGAAAGATGGCATTATTTTTTCAGGAACACAAGAGACAAAGATGAACAAAATACTTTCTCAGAGACAGGAGAAAAAAGGTTCAAGAGAGAAATTGAAAAAGATCACTAACCCTTACTCCTTCCAAAAAGGGTCATTATTAGAAAATATTAATATGTTGTTATTGTTTAAGAAGAACAAGACATAAAAGCTTATCTTAGTACATTAGAACTGAAACATAGAAGGCATATAAACATTGTGTTCTTTATGATCTTCATTTTCCCTCTTTGCATTATCTTTCAGTGATTGCTCTAAGGATTACAATATACATCCTTAAGTTTTCATACTACTTAGGGTTAATATTGAATCAATTCTTGTAAAATGTAGAAATCTTGCAAGTTAGAAGTCCCTTTACTCATCTTCCCATCCTTTTTTTTTACTTGTCAAATACGTTACATCTACATACATTGTAAATCCCATGATACAATGTTATAATTTCCAATGCTCTTTATTTCTTACCCCCGAAGACCTGAATTTCCATCTGGTTGTATTTTTCTTTAGCCTGAAGAACTTCTTTCATACTTCTTGTAGCACATGTCCACCAACAACATATTCTTGTAGCTTTATCTGAAAATTTATTTTAATTCACTTTCATTCATTTAGGATCATTTTCACTAGATATAGAATTCAGAGTTAATGTGTTTTTTGTTTTTGTTTTGTTTCCACCAGAACTTTTTTTGTTTTTGTTTTTATTCTTTTTAGAGACAGGGTCCTACTCTGTCACTCTGTCACCCAGGTTGGAGTACAGTGGCCCAACTGTACTCATAGCTCACTGTGACCTTAAACTCCTAGGCTCAAATGATCCTCCCACCTATAACCTCTCATTAATTTTTTTTTTTTTTTGAGACAGAGTCTCACTCTGTTGCCCTGGCTAGAGTGAGTGCCGTGGCGTCAGCCTAGCTCACAGCAACCTCAAACTCCTGGGCTCAAGTGATCCTACTGCCCCAGCCTCCCGAGTAGCTGGGACTACAGGCATGCGCCACCATGCCCCGCTAATTTTTTCTATATATTTTTAGTTGGCCAATTAATTTCTTTCTAATTTTAGTAGAGATGGGGTCTCACTCTTGCTCAGGCTGGTCTCGAACTCCTGAGCTCAAACAACCCTCCCGCCTCGGCCTCCCAGAGAGCTAGGATTACAGGCGTGAGCCACCGCGCCTGGCCTCCTCTCATTAATTTTTAAGGACTTTCCTAGCAAAATGCTGAAAATAGAGGTTCCTGATATATTTTATTGATTATATAAAATTTGTTTGAAATTACCATACACATATAACAGATGTTTCTAACATTAATACTTATTTTTTTTACTTTTTTATTTTCTTTGTATTTCTTTTTCCAGGTGAAGAACTAAGCAAATACTTATTTTAAAAACTTTAATAATACACAAATACAACAGTAATTACTTCTCTGGATTATAGCATTTAGGGTGGGTCTTTTTCTTTCGTTTATAATATTTTGAGCCTATATTGTTTTGCAATAAGAAAAAGAGTTGTCGGGTTAGCAGTCTATTCTTGGTTCTTCGTGTGCTCTTGGCTGAAGAATGACCAGACACACCAATAGCAAGGGAAGCAGGAAACGAAATTTACTGAGGAAGAGCAAGATAGGTTTATAGAGCAAGAGCGAGATACATTTGCCACAGACAAAAAACAGCAAAGAGGCCTGGTTATGGTCTGAGGTCCTGTTTATATTGTTTGGATTGGGCCCTCCTTGTTCAAACATCACCTGACCCTCTCTCAAAAAACCAAAAAACCTAAAAAAATCTACACAGAAATAACCTAATGGAGAAGTAGGCATGCTGATGGAAATAAACATCTCATAATAATGTCTAAGTTCATATTCCACATTAAAGCCATCCAGAGGGAAATACATACAACCATTACAGGTTAAACAACAATTACAGCTTTACTGATTGGTGGTGAAGAAGGTCCAGTAGCAGCAAAGTAATCAACACAGAGGGGGGTTGTTTTCACATCGTGTATTTCCAAACAATCAGTGTCCAAGTGAAGGGTGCAAAAGACTGTCACATTGAAGTATGACAAGGATTCTAGAAATTAGTGGTTTCAGTGGCTAAGAAAGAATTACACGACTGGCAGAGTAGTAGTGCAGGGCTGTTTAGTATGGCTGTGCATGTTAGGTCCAGAGCTTAGAGGGAGACACACAAAACCTCAGGTTTAGCAAAATGCTGTTTATTTTGAGCATCTGGGTGCAGACGGGTGGAGGTTGAAAAAGGTATCCACCCCAGGAAGGGGAAAGTGGTGGGTTTTACAGAGTATTTATAGTGGGGTAAGTAACTGAGCCAGAACAGCTGCTTGTAATACATTTTTTTTCCAACCAGCTCCTAGGACCCTTGTCTCAGTCACATCCATCCTGCAGCTCAAGCATCGTCCTTATCAGGAGAGACAGGGAGGGATATAAACTGCGTCCTTAACCGGGGGAAAGGAATGTGAACTCTCCTTTTGCATTCCATTCCTTTATCTCCCTAGGGGTCTGATAAAGGCTACTTGCCTAATAGTGTACATTTTCACTGCTTGAGGGAATGGGAAGAGCCACTCTCTGCTGGTCTTGTCCAGTTTAAGGAAAAGTAATTTCTTATTAATGCTCACACAGGCACGCTTCAAATGACAGCTGAATAAAAACTCTTTTGTCTACCGGACTCCAGGACAAACGGTTGAAGACAAGTTTTCTTCCCCCACAGAAGAGTCTTCTTATAGATCTCAGAGCCCGACATTATTTTCAATAAAACTTTCGTGCCACAGGTTTTAAATCGTCTCCTGCAAGCTTCTGGTGCAGATTACTCAGCTCGTCACTGAACTAACAGTTTTTGGGGGTTCTTCTTTCCCCAGTTGAGTTCCCGTGTCTTTTACGCGCTTGGTTTTATAGTCTGACGGAGGTTTTTTTCGCGCTAAGACTCTGAGGCGTTCTGGTTTTCTGAATTAGCATAAAAATTGCTCCGAAGTAGCTGAGTCTCCAGGTCCATTCCATTGAAAATGCTCATTCCTCAGACCCTGTGCACCCTACTGTCCCTTACGGCACTGCTTCTCGACTTTATCTCAGCGTTTTATTCTGCTTTACCTCCAAAGACAGGCCACCGTCCTACGCCGCACCCGTGTCGAGCGTCCCACAGCACCTGAGAAGGTCGCCGCGGCAGCGCACGATACAACGCATGCGCCAGGCCGCAGGCGCCTGCGGAGGAAAAATCGCGTCGACGCCCGGCGGTGACGTAAAAAGGCTGCGCTGTACTTCGGTGCGTGCAGCTTCCGCGGGAATCCTGGCCGGTCGCAGTCATGGTGCGTTGCGGTTGCGTGTTGTTCAGAAAGGTCCGTTACTGGTGCTCTTCTGCCTGATTCCCTTCGCCCAACTGAGGGCTCTGGTTCTCCCTCGCTCTTCTCCCTCCCCACTGTTTTCTTTTCCAGAGACTTTTTTTCCTGCTTGGTTTCACCATAGTCCTCTCTGTCCCTTCAGGAGTCAGGCTTTGCCAATAAAGGGTGACAAGGGGATGTCTGCCTAGCGTGGTTAGGGCCGTCGTTTGGGGGCAGGGTTTGAGGTTCTTTAGAGGGATTGGGATACCTGCCTGCCGTGACTCAAATATTGCGGTGTTTTTTCTTCTTTTAAATAATATGCATAGCCTGTTGTTCCATATTTTTTCTCCAGTGCAATGGTAAGATCTTTCTAGGCCTGGCGCAGTGGCTCACGCCTGTAATCTCAGCACTCTGGGAGGCCGAGGCAGGAGGACAGCTAGAGGTCAGGGAGACCCCATCTCTACTAAAAATAGAAAAAATCAGCCGGGCGTGGTGGCGCATGCCTGTAGTCCCAGCTACTAGGGAGGCTGAGACAGGAGGATCCCTTGAGCTCAGGAGTTTGAGGTTAGTGTGAGCTAGGCCCACGCCACGGCACTCTACCCAGAGAGACAGAGCGAGACTATCTCAAAAAAAAAAAAAAATTATTTCTTTCTAAAGACTTTATCACGAAACAAGAATGTGTAATTGACATGCCTTCTTGCACAAAATTTAGGTCTGTTTGTGTGTACTATCGGTCTTAGAATCGTTGCTGTAAAAATTTACAACTGCTTCGAATTAAAAAAAAAACACACACAACTTTATATGGGCCTCAACTAGTTACGTTTTTTGAAAACCTGCCGGCATTATATTTTGGCCATTACCTTACTAGTAAGGACCAGAGTGAAAGATTTCCTTTAAGTGAGACTCCTAAACCTCTGAATCTGGTGAATCTAGAGCAGTAAAAAAGTATCACATATTGAATAGAACTTTAAAAATCCTCCTCAAGAGTGTATTAGAATGGTCAGTGTTTCAATTTTTTTTGAAACAAAATTTTTTTTTAATTTAAATTTCTTATTTTTTTAAGGCTAGTTAAGGGAAGCAGTGGGAGTGGAGAAGGAACAAAGGACTTTGTAACTGGTCGTGATTAGTTGTAACCACCACTGCACTGGGACCATACTCAAATAGATGTTTTGATACTCATAACTATCCTATGTGACTAAAATTGTGAGGATTATGAATTAGGAAATTATTCTGTAAGATATTTTGATAACCTGGGAGGTTAATACACAAGTTCTGTACCTACAAGAAGTTCTTGATTTAGTGAAGGAAAAGGTAAACACTAAATACATTGTAAGATTTCAAAAAGGATAATAATAGAGATATAATAAAATTGCTGAGAGAGCCAGCAAAATCAGGGTAAGAGTTGATTAGAGGAATGAAGAAAGACATAAGAAAATATGGCATTCAGGTTAGTTTATGATACAAAAGAACATGTGATGGTTTAAGTAGAGGAAAAGCATGAGCAGAGTGGCATATAGACATGGCAATCCATTATGTAGTACAGAGCAAAGAGGAAGAGGTGATGGGAAGGGTTGAACAAATGAAAATGACACTGGAAGGGTAGATTAAAGTCTTTGAGTATACATAGAGTACTAGGAATTTTAGACTTTATTTCATAAACAGTAAAGAGCAAACAAAACCATGGGTGGTTTTTGAATAGGGAAGAAACATTAGAGATCAGATCCGTTTGAGAAAAATAGCGTGGGCAACAAGATGGAGGATACATTAAGGAAAGAATGACTAGATACTGAAAGATCATTTATTAGTCTAGGTACTAGGGCAATGGTACTGGAAAGAGGAGATAGAATTAGCAGGGCTTCAGGGAAAGAAGCATGTATAGTCTGAAAGATTTTCATTTGTGCAGTCTCAATAAATAGATAAACCATGGTTCCATTATTTGAGAGAACATTGGAGGAACAAATTTTGCCTGGGGAAAAGTTTGGTTTTGTTATGTTAACATTTGGTTGTGAGGTGACTGTTACTCATTCATCTGATACCTAAGAACAAGTTAAATGTTAGAGGAGTTTCAAATGTAAATTAAATACAGATCCTGTTCTCACTTGCTTTAAACCACTAAAACCTATATCCTGGTGGAGATGTCCAACATACTGGACATAGGAAATATCTTACCTACACGATAGTTATTTATACAAGCCAAGATCATCCAGGGGAGAAAGTCTAGAATGAAAAGAGGGCCAAGGTCAGAGACCATGAGGATAGATGGGACAATAATTGATAACTGGAAAAAAAAAGTCTTAAGAGATAACCAGATGAGAAAGGGAGGTCACACTGGAGGTGAGCTAAGAAAAGATGCTAGAGTTGGCATACAGAAAGCCATTATTGTTTTTTTTTAAAGAAGTTTTGGTGGAACTAAGAACTAGAAAGGAGTTCTAAGTTGATAAGCACATTTGGTATATAAATGTTTCTCTCTTTTTTATTTAAGTATGGAAATTTCATTGATAACCTAAGACTCTTCATCAAAGGTGGAAGTGGTGGAATGGGTTATCCTCGTTTAGGTGGAGAAGGTGGAAAAGGTGGTGACATCTGGGTTGTAGCCCATAAAAAAATGACTTTAAAACAACTTAAAGACAAATATCCTCAGAAACGATTTGTGGCTGAAGGAGGAGCAAACAGTCGGTAAGTACTTACTGAGTAACTTTAATTCTATAAAATCAAACCCTCCTGGAAAAAAAAAGTTACAAGATAAAACCTTAATTGGTAATTTGAAGTAAATTATTTATTGTATTTGTAACTGAGCAAAAGTTTAAAATAACTCATAAAAGTCCGGTTCTAAGGAATATTATGGAGTTTTTAAACTTTTTATCCATTTCTTCTTCCATTGTATATCTGTATTCTCTTTGCATTTCCTATGTAGAAATAGAACATTATGTGAATTCCCACCATTTTCTTTTAAGATTATCCTTGACAACCTTTAGGAAACCTTTCTCAAATCTGAACCATACTACTACACCACACCACCATTAAAAGTCAGTCTCCTATAATTATTCCACTCAGAGATTAACCTTTTCTTGACTTTTCTAAGACTTTTCTAAGTGTGTTTACACAAATGTAATTTTGTGTATGCATATATAATTTTGGGATGAAAAAATGAGAGTACAATATTTCATGACCACCTCTTTTTGCTTAACATTTTTTTCCATGTCAGAAAATTATTCAGAATAACTGTAATATTATAGTATTGAAAATGAAAGTTTGTCATTTGTCCATTTAGGTTATGTTGACGTTTTTTGCTCTTATAGCCACAATGCATCATTCTTATGTAGATATTATTTTACCTGGTGGTTCAGTTATTTTCTTGATATATTTCCAGATATGGAATTACTAAACTAGAAGTTTATACCAATTTATTCTCTCATGAGCAGTTTGAGAGTAGCCAAATTAGCCTCTTAAAATTTAGTTGCTCTCATTTGAGGTGATTTTTTCAAAAAGCTTTGTAATTCAGTAGGTTTTCTATTTTTTTCTATTAATGGCTTGTTTGTATTGTAGCAGTGTTCAGGTGTGCAATATCTTAGTTCATTATTGGTTAAAATGACTTTTGCTGGTTAATTTGGTTATTTGAATCATTACCTAATACCATTTTAATGGATACAATAGTCTAAAATGCAAATAAATAGGGAAAATTTTAGTTTTTCTTTGATACTGTATTTGACCATTTAATATCTGCATTGGCCAGAAGAGTTGATTGCTGCTCTCCTTTGTAAACTATTCTATTTTCTTGAAGCATAAACCCTTTAATTTAGAGGTTTTCCTTATTTTCCTTTGGCTTTTTTTGGTAGGGTTAGTGCACTGAAAGGCTCCAAAGGAAAGGACTGTGAAATCCCTGTACCTGTAGGTATTTCAGTAACTGATGAAAATGGTAAAATTATAGGTGAGTGTACTCTGTCTTCTAAGATTGTAAAAATATGCACATTTTCTAAAATTGAGGATTTGGGGGAATATCTTGAGTTTTTAAAAAAATTTTAAAATTATTATGGCTACATAACTGTTGTATATATTTATAGGGTACATATGATGTTTTGATACAGGCATACAATTAATCAGATTGGGGTAATTGGGATATCTATCACCCTAGGCCTTTATCATTTCTTTATGTTAGGAACATTCCAATTCCACTCTTTCAGTTATTTTAAAGTATACCCTCGCTTATTGTTGATTATAGTCACTTTGGTGTGGTATCAAATATTGTTCATTCTATCTAACTATATTTTTGTACCCATTAATCATCACCACTTTATTCCTCCCTCCCCACTATGCTTCCCAGCTTCTAATAACCATCATTCTACTCTCTGTCTTCCTTTGTTAAAAGTGATTTACTCTGATGGTGTATTTTAATTTCTTGCTTTTTTATTTTTTGTGTATCTGTTGTAGGTTTTTTGATTTCAGGTTACTGTGAAGCTTGCAAAAAACATCTTATAACCAGTTATTTCAAACATATGACAACTAATTCTGCTTACAAATAAACAAGCAAAGAGAAATCTAACAAATTCTACATTTTAATTCCATCCCTCCTCACTTTTTAACTTTTTATTTTTTTCATTTATATAGTTTTATACTATCAAAAATTTGTTTTAGTTATTTTTGATAGGTTTGTCTTCTAGTCTTCTTATTCAAGATATAAATAGTTTATGTACCACAGTTATCAGCAATAGAGTATTCTGTATTTGTGTGCTTACTGTTACCAGTGAGTTGTATAATTCTAGATGATTTTTTTTTACTGTTCCTTAATGTCCTTTTCTTTCATATTGAAGAACTCCTTTTAGCATTTCTTGTAGGACAGGTCTGGTGTTGGTGAAATCCCTCAGCTTTTGTTTGTCTGGGAAAGCCTTTATTTCTCCTTCATGTTTGAAGGGTTAAGATTTTTTTTTCCCTCTGCACTTTGAATATGTCATGCCGCTCTCTCCTGGCCTGTAAGGTTTCCCCCTAGGAAGTCTGCTGCCAGAGCTAGTAGAGCTCCTTTATGTGTTGTTGTTTTTTTTTTTTTTTTTTTTTTTTTTAAACCTATATCCTGGTGGAGATGTCCAACATACTGG